TGGCTAAGCTGAGGTTCTTCTTCTTCCATGAAGCAGCTCTGTTGTCCTCCATCCATATTTTCAGTTGCAGACTGAGTCATTTTTGTGTTCCCCTCTCTGTCATGTGGATGGAGGACCTCAGTGATGAGAGGAGAATGTGGCGCGCTGAGCTAATACATAAATATGGTGATAGCATCGGGCTAAAGCTAACAGGCTAAGCTGAGGTTCTTCTTCCATAAAGCAGCTCTGTTGTCCTCCATCTATATTTTCAGTTCCAGGCTGAGTCATTTCTACCTTCTCCTCTCTGTCAACGCTCTCTGGTTTTATTTAAAAGAGTCGATCATCAGATATTGTCCAAGATTAACCATCAGGTTGGATATAGTTCGCTAGCAGCCTCACACAGTGCTTTGCGTGTAAATAAAATGGCCCTGTCCATGTAATACATTTTTAAACTTTTAGTTTAAAAATGATAAAAAACTGAACAGCCTACAATATTTTTACAGTCTTTATTTTACAGTTAAAATATTTGTTTGTTAAATAAAGTCTAATGTTACAACTTCTAGTAACTTATGTTTTGTATAAAATAAACAAAGGTTATGTTACATATAATTATACCTGAGTCTGACTTGCTGTACTGTTTGCCTGCTTGTTTTGTTTGTTCAGTGTATTAGAGAGCCTGGTGAACTAAGAAAACCCCACACCTTTTTTTTTCTTCCAGTATAACACAGATAAAGCTATAGTCGACAGTGGGACGACACTGCTGAGACTTCCTGTCAGTGTCTTCAGTGCGGTGGTAGAAGCCATCACACGCAGTTCTCTGGTACGCAGCCATCTCTCCACAGACTGTAATGAAACATGTTGTCAGAGCAAACAGAGGCAGAGCAGAGTGGTGCACACTCACTGCTCAAGGACGTAGTAGCTAAAGGTGGAAGGAATCTGAGGGGTTGCTTTATTTTCCAATCCACTATTTTCTTTACCTCTTGGAAGTGCACTCAAGGTTGAGTTAAACATTTATAGTAACTGTACTATAAAAAAACAAACCCTGAGCAGGTAAATGAAAGAAAASATGAAGCTGACCTTCTGTATGTATCTTTTTATCTCTGTACCTACCTTTCTTSCTTTGTTCTACTTTTTTTCCCTCTTTGATTCAGATCCAAGAGTTTTCTTCAGGCTTCTGGGATGGCACTAAGCTTGCATGCTGGATGCAGGGAGAAAACCCCTGGAAGTTTTTCCCAAAGCTTTCCATCTACCTGAGAGCCACCAACACCAGCCAGTCCTTCCGCATTACCATCCTGCCTCAGGTAACTGGACCCAGAATAAATACGTTGTGTCCATCTTTCTCCAGAGCTTCTACAGTAACATCAGATACGTTCCTGTCTTTCTGTCATTTTGCAGCTGTACATTCAGCCAGTCACAGACATGGACGGCACGTTGGACTGCTTCCGCTTCGGGATTTCATCTTCAGCTAACGGCCTGGTGATGGGAGCCACAATTATGGAAGGCTTTTACGTGGTGTTTGACCGCGCTCAGAAGAGGCTGGGCTTTGCTCTCAGCAGCTGTGCAGGTGAGGGCTCACACACACMAATTTGTCGTTCAAATTTTAGTAGGGATGGCCACATTAAGCTTCCCTAAAGCATCGATGTGTTGTTGGT